TAAACTTTAACCCTTTCCTATACCAACTGTATGTGTGTGTGTGTGTGTATGTGTATGTTAGACCAGTTTATGTGTTTATGTAGGATGTTAGACCAGTTTATGTGTTTATGTAGTATGTTGGACTAGTTTAAGTGTTTATGTAGTTAATAAAACCTTACTTGTATCACACTTGACGTGTTCATTGTTTGCTCATAACCGGAGTCACTAATCATGCAGATTTACGCTACAAGCTTTGTAGAATTGTACAGTAAGAAAGTTATTTCCCTTAACCAGGAAATTAACGTTCTTAGAATTGACAAGACAGTTGACCCTGAGAGGTCAACTAAATATCTACAGCGGATCTAAAATATGAATAATTAATTATAACTAGTTATGGTTAATTATTCATATTTCCTGTTGTGAGCTGAGTCGCTACAGCCTATTGTGGCTTCCATATTACACGGACCATTGTGGCCCTTCACATTACTCTGGCATAACGTGGCCTGTTATAAGATAGCTTATAAGATGTTTATTAATATTTTATATTTATGCCGCCTTTCATAAAATTTGATGCTGTATGTTTGAGGTAAATTTTAGCAAACACTGGTGGTGGTGTCTCATTTTATTTTCTCTCTGTGGCCTATCGAGGCCTCGTCTCTGTGTGGCCTATCGAGGCTGTTGTGTCTGCAGCCATTGTGGCCTTGTCTCTGTGTGGCCTATCGAGGCCGTCGTGTCTGCGGCCATTGTGGCCTTGTCTCTGTGTGGCCTATCGAGGCCGTCGTGTCTGCAGCCATTGTGGCCTTGTCTCTGTGTGACCTATCGAGGCCTTGTCTCTGTGTGACCTATCAAGGCCTTTGTCTCTGTTTGGCCTTTAATGGCTTCTCTCTTCTGTGGCTTATCATGGTCCCTCTCCTCTACTCTATAACGCACCTATACTTAAGCTATTAATCTGGTACAAATTTACGCTTATTGAACTTGCTTTAACTATGACTAAATTAAATATTCTTTTATTTAGTTTTTATATTCTAGGATCCTCTAAGAAACACTGAACAGGTGGGTATATAATTTCCGTGTCTGCGGCCATTGTGGCCTTGTCTCTGTGTGGCCTATCGAGGCCGTCGTGTCTGCGGCCATTGAGGCCTTGTCTCTGTGTGGCCTATCCAGGCCGTTGTGTCTGCAGCCATTGTGGCCTTGTCTCTGTGTGACCTATCGAGGCCTTGTCTCTGTGTGACCTATCAAGGCCTTTGTCTCTGTTTGGCCTTTAATGGCTTCTCTCTTCTGTGGCTTATCATGGTCCCTCTCCTCTACTCTATAACGCACCTATACTTAAGCTATTAATCTGGTACAAATTTACGCTTATTGAACTTGCTTTAACTATGACTAAATTAAATATTCTTTTATTTTGTTTTTATATTCTAGGATCCTCTAAGAAACACTGAACAGGTGGGTATATCATTTCCTTCATATCTTTTGGGGGTAGGCTCCGCCCCTGCCTTCGTCTCGGCAGTAATAGCTGAATCTTCAACCTACAGATTCAAGCTACGCTGCCGTCCAAAGGCAAAGTGCAGTAACTATACATCTGGTCAAAATTTAGTTAAGTCCTAAAATGGGCTTTGTGACATCTGTTCTGTCTTGACAAAGTCTCCTAGTTAAATTTTGTCCCATTTCAGAGAAACGAGAGCGTCAATTTTAGTAAAGTTACTGCGTTCTGGCTTTGTTTTCCCATTTGACACCGCAGATACTGCACGGTCTGCCTTGGTATTCCACGGCTAAATGATGGTTGAACTCGCGTTAAAACGCAAATATCGAAAGACAGGTAAGATAGCAAAATATTACCTCCTAGCAAGGCACATGACAGCTTTACGATCAGTTAACGTTAACTTGCCAGCCGCTAGCAAATTAAACAGCCTAACGTTACATGCATTGCTTCATATTCACTTTGACAACGTAATGATAATCTGATTTATAATCGCGTTGATGTTTGTTGATTCAGACATCTCTCAACGTTAATCCAATTGTAGTAAAAGGGGTTATTCCTTCAAAAGTTAGCTGCTAGCTCAGGTAAAGTTATATAATTCATCAACTGTTCTGTATTAAAGTTATACGGAACGCAGTTTGTCCCCTATTCGCAGGCATACGCCATATAATAATAATAATTAATAAAATTTTAGCCAACCACTAGCAAATTAAACAGCCTACCTGCATTGCTTTATATCCACTCTGACAACGTAATGATAATCTGATTTAAAATTGCGTTGATGTTTGTTGATTCGGACGTCTCTCCAAATTTCAGGCAGCTAATCCAATTGTAGTAACAGGGGTTATTCCTTCAAAAGTTAGCTGCTAGCTCAGGTAAAGTTACATAATTCATCAACTGTTCTGTATTAAAGTTATACGGAACGCAGTTTGTCCCCTATTCGCAGGCATACGCCATATAATAATAATAATAATAATTAATACAATTTTTATAGAGCCTTATTATTATTATTATTATTATTAATTATTAGTAGATGTTGTAAATGTACTATAGAAATACCCAGGAGGTCTCCCATCCAGGTACTGACCAGGCTCAACCCTGCTTAGCTTCAGTGGGCAACCAGTATTGGGCTGCAGGGTGATATGGCTGCCTGACCATGGTAATAACAAACTATTAATTGATAAGTAATCATTCTTTTTGCACAAATCACCTTTTCATTTGTTAACACATTCGAAGAAGGCTTTATGACCAAGCGGAATCCTCTGTTGCCTGGTCGCTCCCGGTTCGCCATGAGCGGGACTCGCACTGGCTGCAACTCCCTTCGCCGTCCGCGTTTTGATTCTGGCAAATCAATTTGGATGAATGCAAACAACGTGATTATCAGGAGGACAACATCCAGCTAGGCAAGAAAACATGCAATCTACCTGAGGGATGACTTTTCACTATTTCACAGGCCAGTGGTTTGTGTGTGACATTTTTTGTATGACATTAAAATTCCCTTTAGAATAATTGTACATAAATACGGTAAGCAAACAAATTAGATTTTTTTTCGGAGAAACTTTTATACACCTTTTATATACTTAACCGCAGACATGGAAATGGTACAGTACAAATATTTTGAGCATTCCTTATTTTCCTATAAAGAATCACAATTATTCCTTATTTTCCTTCATGGCATCCCTAGTTATATTGTTAGGAAAAGTTTAAAATGTGTGAATGTTTAACTACGGTTTTAACTACTTGGTCTGCAATTACTTTTTAAATAAAATGAGCAAAACACTGTGGTGAAAGGAGCATTGCGATGAGATGATCTTGAGGCTTAACTACGGAGTCATTTTAACATTCACAGCATGCAAACATCAATAAAACTATTAAAGTAATAAAAACAATCAACATGCAGGCCTAGTGTCACATCCGAGACAAAGAGGCAAACAGACAGGTTAAAGTAAGTCGGGGAGTTTATTAAAAGGAACTGAGGAGCAGCTTCCAACAAAGTAATCAAACTTAGGAATTAATGGAAGCAGAGAACACAGTCTTATCTGGGGTCAGCACTTTGGCCGAGAACTGAGGAACCCGAGGCTTGACAGGCAGATAGAGCGGCAAGGAACCCGTACAGAGATGCTTGTAACCTTGAGACAAGCCGACGAGTGACTGAGGTGAGTGTGTATTTGAGTGGTGTGGTAAGTGGGTGCAGGTGTCCGTGATTAGTAATCAGGTGATTGTGAGCGGGTGTAGGAGGCTGATTCGGCTGGTGAGGTAGGTGTTTCCGTGACACCTAGTAAGAAACTAGTTTTATATCCGATTTAGTTTGTAGATACTACACTTTGCAACGGTTTGAGATAAAAATCTTTGTTTGTGTTCTACGGAAGAAACCGTCACGTGCATCTTGGATGCCCTGGGGGTAAGCAGATAAACGTCAAATTTTCATTTTTGGGTGAACTATCCCTTTAACAGGTGCAAGCTTATGCAGAGTTTCTATTAGGCAGATAGAGCGGCAAGGAACCCGTACAGAGATGCTTGTAACCTTGAGACAAGCCGACGAGTGACTGAGGTGAGTGTGTATTTGAGTGGTGTGGTAAGTGGGTGCAGGTGTCCGTGATTAGTAATCAGGTGATTGTGAGCGGGTGTAGGAGGCTGATTCGGCTGGTGAGGCAGGTGTTTCCGTGACACCTAGTAAGAAACACAACAAGAAAGCTGGATGAACTAGTTTTATATCCGATTTAGTTTGTAGATACTACACTTTGCAACGGTTTGAGATAAAAATCTTTGTTTGTGTTCTACGGAAGAAACCGTCACGTGCATCTTGGATGCCCTGGGGGTAAGCAGATAAACGTCAAATTTTCATTTTTGGGTGAACTATCCCTTTAACAGGTGCAAGCTTATGCAGAGTTTCTATTAGGCTATAACACGTGTTCGCTGCGTTGAGCAATGCAGTGCTGAAATTTGCATGCTCACGAATCCTCTCATTATAACACACGAATTGTAGACATTATGAAAGATTCATTATGCATATATTTATTGTGTTATAACAGATTTGTGAGATTGCGATGAACTGAAATGGCTTTTAGAGATTATAAATGCAGCACTCTTTGCTGGCATTCTGCCATGCCAAACCATGCACGCAGCAGCCTTGCTTTAGTTAAAAATAACAATGTTCTGTGAATGTTGGTGCTTTAATAACAAATATATATCGGGAGTGTGTATGCTGGTATTTCATAAGTTTCATGGAGAAAAAAAGTAACGTAACTAATTACTTTTGAAATGAAGTAATCAGAACAGTAACGTGATTACTTTTAAAAGGAGTAATCAGTAATTTGTAGGGATGTGACGAGATCTCGCGAGAACGTGACGATATCCTCACGCAGACTTTTCAGATATATTTGCATTACACTGGCTCGTTCACAAGTGGTGGTATGTAAGATATTTTGTTACATCAGGCAAGTGGCCGCATGATAAGCGGGGAAATTACGCAGTTGAGTAAGTCGTCCTAACTGTCGTCTTGTTCTGTCGTCCTAACTGTCGTCTT